TATGATTTCCTTCATTAAGTAGTAGATAATAACAACAATAAACAAAGACATAGAGACAGAGATTGGATTGGTGGTTACCAGAGGGGAAGGGGGGAGGGAGAAGGGCGAAAGGGATAATTTGCCACGTGTGTGTGGTGATGGGTTGTAATTAGTGTTTGGGTGGTAAATATGATGTAATCTATGCAGAAATAGAAGTATAATGATGTACACCTGAAATTTATACAATGTTATAAACCAATGTTACTGCAGTAAACAAAAATTTTTTTTAAAAAGGCAAATATTGTACTTAATGGAAAAAAAACTAGAATTATTTCTGTTCAATTCAAAAACAATATGAAGATGGTCACTATTTATATAATTTTTTTTCATAGTTATTCATCATCCTTCTGTTATTCTAACCAATGCAGTAAGGCTAGTTGAAAAGACCAGTTTTGAGAATGAAGTTCAGGGACGCCATTAATTTTTATATATTTTATCTTGCAAATAGACAACTTACTGAACAGTAGTTGTATTATTACTTATTAACAATTAGTTATTAATATTAAGTAATTAAGTTAATATTAATTATTAATAAGTAAGTATTATTACTATATAATAAACTGTTAGTAGACTGTTGATTTTCTAAGTTAAATTCTTATCTTCAGAAAATATCAGTTTTGGAATAGGAGAGGAAAAGTTATTGTTAATATGAAGGTGTTATGATTTTATGCTTAGAAACCCAAAATAATCAACTAAAAATTGTAAAGTTAGCCTCCCAAAATTAATCTATAAATGTTGTCTAAGTACCATTAAAATCCCATTGGGAATTAGAGGGTGGTTGCCTGGTTATTTTTGAACCTGAAAAATTGATAGTAAAGGTGATCTGGAAGAATAAAGGGCTGAGAATATTCAAGAAATTATTGAAAAAGTAGAGCAATGAAGGTGCTTTCTGTATAGAACATATAAGGTGCAGTTATTAGAATAATATGTTACTCATAAAAGAATAGATAAATCAATGGAATAAGATATAAAATCCAGAAACAGGCTCTAAAATATACAGCATATTAGTATATGATGAAAGTGAGGAAGAGATACATTACTTAGTAAATGATAAGACAAATATTTAGTTTTACAATGACTAATTGTAAAATAATAATGTTAGAGCCTTTCTGTACTGTTTTTAAACAATAAAAACATAAATGAACTGATAGAAAACAGGTGAATATTTGTCTGATCTCAAGATGGAGCAAGTCTTTCTAAGAATGAAAGTAAAGAATTTTATATAAATAAAATAGGTTTGACTTTAAAATTTAAAACTTAGAGATCAAACAAGTTTTATTAACTTTATAATCAATATTAAATGCAAATCATATGTTGGGAAGAATGTTTGCAAACTATGTATGTCATACAAGGAGGTTAATAGCATTATAGACACATTGGTTAAGGAAAGAAACACTCAGAGAAAGATATGATCGTAGACACAAGCAGATAATTCACACAAGAGCAGATAGAAATTGCCAATTTGTCTGTTCATCTAACATCTGTTTATTGAACACCTGCTAGGTATCAGGCAGTGTGCTGGGTCTCTGTCCTTATGGGTCTTAGAATCTAGTAGGAGAAACAGGTGGTAAACATAATTGTACAAACTATAAGTGTTATAAAGGAAAAGAACATTGAACATACAATCGAAGTATTTGAAGAAACATGGAAAGTCAAGCAGAGTTTCCCTGAGAAAGTAATTTGAACTGAGAACTAAAAGATAAGCAACTATTAAATGCGGCCTTGGACTGGAGTGAGGGATTGACATTCAGGGCAGAAGCCACAGGGCAAAGACTTTGAAGACTGGAGGACCAAGTGGATGGAAACAGGAAAAGAATGGTGGGAGATGAAGTTGGACAATTCAGCACATACAGGTTATGGTTGTCAGCTTGAGAGTGCTGGGGAGCCCCTAGAGAAGTGACAGGAGAGGGACTTGATGGGATTTACATTATGGGGTCACTTTGATTGCTTTGTGGAGAAGGGATTGGGAAAGTGGAAGTTGGGGTGGGACATAGCAGTGGATGAATGAAAACTTTTACTAGTCGAGTCAACAGGTGTGTATTGAGCACGCTCTGTGCACCAACCAGGCCCTTTACCAAGTGCTAGGATAGTACAGTGAGTAAGGAAGACGTGGTACCTAACCTCACGGACCTTATATGGTGGTGGTCTTCAATTTCTGTCGAAGACGGATTCACTAATATATAAAGAGAGACATCCAACAAGTAAACAAAATTCATGACAGATTTTGAAAAATGCTACAAAGGTACTATGAAGGAGAATAATGCCTGATTTCTTCAGACATACATAATCTCCCCACTTCCTTTTTCCTTTTTAAGCATTCCCTCAGATCTCAGCATAGCATACTGGTTAGACACCGTAGCTTCAGCATTTACGTGATATTTAAAAGGAAATTTCTAGTGTAGCTCCGGGTTTAAATCTATGAAGTATGATATTTAATGTCATAAATAAGCCTATAACCCACACACAAATTATTTTCATCATTTAACAGTCATTATATCATACATAATCACACATAACATTTATTCCTTTATTCATCCAGCACATGTTTATTGAGCGCTTACAAGTTAGAAGGTCATTGCTGTAGTTCAGACAAGAAATAATGCTTAGCTTGGACTAGGTTTGCCAGTGGGGAAAAGTAGACACATTTAAGAAATATTCAGGATTGTGGAGAGATTGGATATAGGCAGGAGAAGAAAGTGCCAAGGATAATGCCCAGGTTTCCTGCTTACACAGGCAGATGGATAATAGTACAGTTCACTGGAGGAGAGGAAGCTGATAGTACAGTTCACTGGAGGAGAGGAAACAACATTCAGCATCGCAAGTGATTAAGAGAAATACAGACTAAAACTGTGTTACTGTTTAGCAGCCAGACATACGGAGATTAAAGAAAAAGATAATGCTTGACGTAGAAAGAAGGCATTCTCACACACTGCTGGAGAAGCAGACGGCATTTGGCAATATACATCTTATACCTAAAAAACATTCATACCCTTTGACCCAGTAATTCCATATTAATACAAAGAGTTATTTATATTAAGGAAAATTAGGCAAAAACTTAATGCCCAACTCTAGGGAGCTGATGATGTAAATTATCACAGCTGGAGAATGGATTACTATAATCATTAAAACAGGCAAAAACTTTGGAAGAACTTGTAATAAGGTGGAAAAATGCCTATAACATGTGAATAAAAATGCAAAACAGTATTGCTTGGGAGGTTATAGTTGTATGTTAAAAAACACAAAAACATAGATATGTATAAAAATTACTGGAAGAAATTAACCATGATAATTACAGTTATTTCTAGGTGGTAGAATTGTGTGATTTGTATTTTCTTATTAATACATTTTTGTAAGTATTTTTCAATGACCATTTATTACTTTTATAATTAAAATGTTAAATTCCTTTAAGATAATTTCAGAAAATAATTATTACTGTGATGATTTTCCAGTCTCTCCAGTGTCAGCCTGCCCTTAGCTAAGATCATTCCAATAGTAAATGGACAGATCCATTCAGTTTGCAGTGAAACGCCTAGTCATTTTGTTCAGGTAAGAAGAAAGCTTGGGGGTATTCTTAAAAACAGATTGTATTTTTGGTTGTGGTCCTGTTTGCCTAACATAAAATTACATTTCTCTTCTGTGATATTTGTTCAAAGAAACCAAAAACTTGAAACCACATGTACAGTGTGATAGAATGCCCCGTGAGAGTAAATGGCACATTTATGAGGTGGGGAGCACCTTTCTGCATGTTATAGTCCCACGCCTGTTAGACTGCATGTTAGTCCAGGTACATTCCAGTGGTCAGTTGACTTTACAGAGGTAATGTTTTGCGTTAAACTGTGCTAGTTAGAAGATTGAGCCTTGAGCAGATCAGTGATCCAGTTTCTCAAGTTTTGAGGAAAACTAAAAAATTTTTGTGGGGAAATAAAGCATTTTAATAATAAATATAACTATTAATAGTGCACCAATAGTCTGCTCACTAAAAGCTGCATAGACAGTAGATGGTGTAAATATTTCACTAGACTACCTATAACTCCATCTTCCTTCTTAGGACAGCATTTTAGAATGCACTAAGACTGATGTTATTAAAAGGATAACTTTGAATTCACATAGTTTTTTTTCCTGAGGCATTTGCAAACTTGGGAAAAAATTACTTGCAATACGCTTCACTTCCAAACTACTGCAATAATGTGTAGTGAGAAGAGACCCTAAAGCCTCAGCGGAGGGGTGGTGTCGTCTTAGTGCCGTTTGTCTCAGACAAGTGAGAAGATCTTCTCTGGATTTTCTGCTCAGCAACGTGAAGAGCACTGAGACTGCGGTTGTGTTTCTTCCTTTCTCTGTTTAGTGTCGTCAGCTTGTCCCTCACATGCTTATTTCCCTCAGTGTTCTCTTCAGTCTTCTGTGTCGTCCTCCTCACCCATGAGCGTCAGGCATTCATGTTGCAGAAGGAAGAGTGAATAAGACTGATCTCATTTCACTTAATTTCAAGCTTAATTTAAGCTAGATTTTTTTTAATTAAAAACACTTAGTTTTAGGGGCCGGCCCGGTGACACAGCAGTTAAGTGTGCGCACTCCGCTGCGGTGGCCTGGGGTTCGCAGGTTCGGATCCCGGGCATGGACCGACGCACCACTTGTCAAGCCATGTGTGGTGGCGTCCCATATAAAGTAGAGGAAGATGGGCACGGATATTAGCCCAGGGCCAATCTTCCTAAGCAAAAAGAGGAAGATTGGCAACGGATGTTAGCTGAGGGCTAATCTTCCTCACAAAAAAAAAGAAAGAAAACTTAGTTTTAAATTTTTAATTAAATTTTAATTTCCACATGTGTATCAGTGTGAGAATAAAAGTTGTAACTTCTGGCATTTAAACTGTAACTTTACCTTTTCCACTTGCATGAGAGTCTCTGGCTTCATGATAGGCTGTTCATCTTACAGACAAGTGGTAACACAAGGAAGCGTAATAACAACCCAGCTGTAGTGCTTGAGTCATTTATGTGCTGCATTAATTAAAGTTGGTATCATTGATAAGGAAAACAAAAGATTGCAACCTAGTAAAAACACCATTGATACTGATGTTTAATAAAGTTTTTAGTGTGGCTGGATGTAGATTAAATTTATATACTAGACCATTAATTGAGAAGACTTCCACCAACTTTTTTAACTACAGTCTCTATAAATTAAAGTACAAAGTGGTCTTCAGAGAATTTAACCATGAATTTGTTGAGATCAAGACTTGCCTGAAGTTCACGTGGGTTTTCTGATACTTAAAAAAAAGTGAACACAAGGGACGAGTTCACTTCCTGTTCTCTGACGCTCCCAGGGGCACCTAACTGCTTATGTGTCGTGGATCCTTTCACAGTCTGGTGAAGCCCATGGACCCCTTCTCAGAAGAATGTCTATAAATGCATATTGTAAAATACATAGGTTTTAAGGAAAACCAATTAGACAGTTTTCAAAATAGTTTTAAAATCAAATTTATGATGTGGCAGTATTGCTTCTTTGTCATGTATTAAATAACAAGATGTGATGGCAGTTCATATAACTTCCACAATTATCATATATGTAAGTGTCTAATTTCTATTAAGACAAATTCACAGGGTCTGCTAATAGTATCACAGTTTGTTGCCTACATTCATAATTGAAAAAAGTGCTAAATTTTAGTTAAAGGTTAATGAAAATAAAGATGTAATTTTTTCCTTATCTTTACTTTCACAAATCCCTTAAGAATCCTTGTTCTCAAGTGTATATGTGTGGTTTTTGTATGTGTGTGTATATAATATATGACATACTACATATATCCTATATTAGATCTAGAAAGTAATATACCTCAACCATGTCAGCTTCCAGCAAAACTCCCTTTAGACTTGTATCTCTAGTATTATAATCATTTATTCAACAGATACTTATCTAGCACATGACACACAAAAATCCATTTGAAGACTATTTTGGCTTCTTCTCAAAGTCATACTTGAATACTTAGCATATTCACCATCCCTCATACAAGAACCTAAACGATAAATATCTCCTGGAATTTATTATAAGAAAAAAGTACTTTCATTAAATGGTTTTCTCGGCCTTAACGCATCAAAACTTAGAGCTAAATTTGTTGCTTGATTGCAGAAATGAATTCAAATTATCTATACCTTTTACAAACAGTAATGTTTATTGTTGTCTTTGCCAGGACCTGTTGATGATGGAGCAAGTAAAAGACTTTGCTGCTAATGTGTACGAAGCTTTTAGTACTCCTCAACAACTGGAGAAATGATTTTTTTCCTTCGGGAAACACTACGGTGGAATTCATTTACTTTTAAAAATATACTGAATAAATCAACTGTATGTAGGGTAATGATTTGTTACCGAAATGCCTAATAAGAATATATTCTTAATCAAAGTCTTCATTTCATAATAAAATAGATTTATTTGGCATCTTAATATATTTTTTTAAAGTCATCAACAGACTACTTTTTGTGGGCGTATCTGAGTGCACACAGTGTGCATATCAGAATTGTTAATAATTTGTTACACCATGGATATTGGTTTCCAAACTGACTAAAAACTAATGTAGATACTTTTTTTTTATATCATATGAAATGCCGTATACTTTGACATTGATACTGAGTGAAAATCTGTTTGGGAAATAGATGTGAAGTTTGGAAAATACGCTATTTAACTAATCGTCAAGTTCCCTGGACTGCAGTTTACGGGAGTGGATCGGACTTTCCTCCAGTTACTCGTCAAAGGAATAAATTATCTGTCTTAAATATACCTGATGGAGGACTTTTCTTTTTATGGAAATCAGTGATTTTAACAACCACGATCAGCCAGTTTTTTCTTTCCTATTGTTAACAATCCTTAGACAGTTACATGTTGATTTAGAGGCTGAAGTTGTGTTACCGTTTACTCACAGCTATTATTACATAGTTTCATTCGTTTGTATGTAAATAATTTTAATAACTTACTTTGTATTGATTTTGAGCACAGTGAATATCTTATTGCAATAAAATATTTTAGTAAAATATGGTTTTGTTGAGTTAATACTTTACAACCATTAATTTATTTGTTTCATAGCATTTTTTGCTGTTATTTTAGGAGAGTACGCTAGTTTTCAAGTTTCATTTTAACTGGTAATTGATGCTTTCTTTTAATTTCCTTAGAAAAAAATAAATAGCATTTTCTTCTGAAAAGAAATAATTCCTTGTGTCTAGTAAATCTATAGTTCTGTATTTATAAAGGTGATTAGGGCAGAAATAAATGAATCATTATGTATCATCAGGATATTAGATATATTTTCAGTAATATAAGAATATTTTCAGTAACATCATTTTCTGTTCCTCCAGCATAACATATAGCTAAATAGTAGAAGGTAGAAAATGAATTGTGACGTCTCTTCTAAGGCCAGGCTAGGCCCGAAGCCAACTGCTAAGGAGTCTATGTCTAGAATGTTAAACACACACACACACGCACATACACACGCACACACACACACCCCAGATGTAAAGATGGGGAGGAGGGCAAATGCTTCTTTTGACAGAAGATAGTGATGTTATTTCAAATAGAGTGATGGAAAAACTGCATTTTGGAAAATTAGTGAATGTGTGTGTAATAGGGCATGCTTTTCTTCCAGCAATATTAACCCAGGATTTCATCCAAGGAAATTCTGAGACTGAACAGGTGTGACCTTGTAAGACAGAACGCCGGTCAGCTGAAAATTATCACCTGGAATCATCTGCGTCTGTAGAGTTGTGGCAGTTGAGGAGATGACAAGGTAAAAACCACATGTACGTGAAGCTAATTGGCCTTAGACATCACAAATTTGTCTTCTAATAGTGCAGTAGGAGCCCTCTTGTCTGGAACTCTTAGTTGTTTGGTTAATCCAAAAAGTCATTTAAAGCAGGGTATCAAAAAAAATAACAAATGTATTCTGAAATATTTTAACTTAAAATATAAATATTCTTCATTTGCCAGTTATTTAACGTAGGACCCAGGCCTTTTCTACTTTTTTGGTATAGGTGGGCTTTCTCTAATTGCCTTTCTCGTTCACAGCACGTGCATTACGTGACATAGTTGTGAACCAGAGGTACAGAATGCTTGTAGATTTTTACTGTATTTTCTCTCAATCTCTTAGAACTGTTTTGCCCACAATTAGCTAACCAATACCTTAAAAAAAGCGACACACTTTTATCTAGTCTTTCCAAAGTACTCAACTTGGTTTTCACCGAAACTACAACTTTTCACACTCGTGTCATCAGCTTCTGTAATCATGATCAAAAGTTCGACTGGCATCATCAGTTTGGTAACTGTATTCACTTCCTGGAGCTGCCCTAACAAATGACCACTGACTGGGTGGCTTAAAACAGAAATTTATTCTCTCACCATTCTGGTGCTTACAAGTCCAAAATTAAGGTGACTCCGTGGCCACGCTCCCTGTGACGGCTCTAGGGAAGAATCCCTCCGATCCGTCCCTGACTCTTCCAGCTTCTGGTGGCTCCAGGGGTTCCCCGGCTTGTAGCAGCAGAACTCCAACCTCTGCCTCTGGCTCCACTTGGCCATCTTCTCTGTGTCCGTGTTCTCTTCTGTCTCTGATAAGGATACCCTCATTTAGGACCCACCCACATCCAGTATATACCACCCACATCCACTATGTACTTATCTCACTACTTACATCTGCAAAGACATTGTTTCCAAGTAAGACCGCATTCTGAGCTTCCTAGTGGACGTGAAGTCTTGGGGAATACTATTCAACCTACTGCAGTCACTCAGTGCACCCTGGGTAAACCTCCGTTGCAGCAAGTGGAAATTGAAGTGAAGGGTGTGCCAGACAGATACCTACTCACTGAAAACCTGCAGCCTGCCCTGGGCGTCAGTCAGTACGCTTCCCCAAGGAAACGGAGCGCATCAGTCCATCTGGTGAGTTGGTTAAACGGAGATTACTGAAAACAGCTTCTACTTTTTTTCCTTCAAACTTGTGTAAATGTGTTTGTTGCTGTGTATATATAAAAATTTGCTACGAGCATTTCATTTACTAGTTCTGAAGTTAGGCAGGAAGATTTTTATCTAGTCACATCTCTTCCTTACAAAATTGAAATGAACAGAAGGCAAAACATCTGTCTTGTTTTCTGTTGTCCTAATTCCTGTTGATTTGGATAGCCTGACCTTTTAGCGTAATTGTGTGGCTCCAATATGGCATTCATAAGAAAATGAGATAGAATCTTATTAAAGGTGATGTCCATATTTAAAATGATATCAATGTCTAGATTATTCAGACTAATAATCTAGTTTGGTTTGCCTTCAACTGTTCTCTAGTCATTAAGAAAAATCAAAAGTTGCTGAAATTTAAACAAGGCAATTTTATACCTATTAATAACTCTGGGTAAAGGACTAATTGGTTGGAGGATAAAAACTATTGACTTGAAATAAGTAAGGAGAAATCTGATTTTAAATTATCGTTACTATAATTCTTGCCCTCCATACCACAGATAATACTAAGAATTTGCTGGAATATTTTTAAATCCTTGCTATGAGATTTAGTTGTAGTACATTTCACATATAAGCAAGATAATATCTTAAATTTAAATTTGGGGTCTCATACTTTTTCATATAGTGTCCGGTTATTAGCAAAGCATTTTATCAGCACCTCTGAGTGCCGAGCTGTATTTGTCATCTAGGCCCCTCATAGCTACTCATTAAGTAAACCCTATATCTAACTATAAGTTGCTTAAATGTTTCCATTTTTCCCCTTTATTCTCAATTTGTAAAGGTAAAGAAAGGGTAAGAATTTAAGTGGTTGACAGGCTTTAGTCTCAAAAATACTTTCTTCCAACAGATGACCCTACTTTTATGATAAGATTCCTGTATCACTGTTTATTTGGGTTTGTTTGGGTTTTTTTCCCTTTTTTGTTTTTTCTTATCTAGTGTGTGGGATCATGTAAATCTGTTCACACTGGATCTCTAATAAAATGTTAATTGGGATTTAGAACTATTAAAGTTTTTGTTCTTGTAAATATTTTGCATGGTTTCAAAATTTTGGTAGTTGTAGGAACTTCAACATGAGTAATTTTTTTTTAATTTTTCAACTTTAGCATGATTTTAGGAAATAAATATGAATAGTGTTTTATTTCTCTATTTGAAACATTTTTTGGAAACAGTGAGATGTCTGCTTTTGGTTAATGTGGAAACTGGACCTGTGGCACTTCAAAGAAAGGTCTGGCCATATTGAGCATCTTTAGTTGAGGGAAGTGAGTTCTTTAATCAGCATTTCTTTATATTTACACCAAAATCAGTGTATTTTTGCTTCATTATTTTGCTTCATTCTTAGGGGAGATCTGAATAGACTTCCTAAATTTTAACTAGGTTTTCAACTTCAATTTGCTCTAAGGCAAATAGAAGCAAATTTATTAATTTAAACTGGACTTCAAATTAGCCCATCTACAAAAATAGGCCCACAGCTCCAACCCCACACCCCACCTCCCCCAAAACAGCTGGAAGAATATACACTAAAATGTGAACAGTGGTCTGAGCAGTGATTTTTACTTTTGAGTGTTTCTGTGTGTTTTAAAATATCTACAGTGAACATATATCAGTTTTATTACCAAAAGGAAAAAGACAAAATTTTTTTATAAAAAGACAATTACTGTAAGCATTGGAAATATAGCACCTGTCTTAGCCTGCTAGGGCTGCCATAACAAAAGGCCAGACTGGGGGGCTTAAACAACAGTCATGTGTCTTCTCTCAGTTCTGGAGGTGGGAAGCGCAGGGTGTCGGCAGGTGTGGTTTCTCTTGAGGCCTCTCTCCTCCTCTCCTCTCTCCTCCTCTCCTCTCTCCTCCTCTCCTCTCCTCTCTCCTCTTCTCCTCTCTCCTCCTCTCCTCTCTCCTCCTCTCCTCTCTCCTCCTCTCCTCTCCTCTCTCCTCCTCTCCTCTCTTCCTCTCCTCTCTCCTCCTCTCCTCTCTCCTCTCCAGAAGGCCACCTTCTCACTGTGTCCTCACATGGTCTTTCCTCTGTGCTCACATCCCTTGCGTCTCCTCTTCTTATAAGGACACCAGTCGTACTGGATTTGGGTCCCACACTTACCTTAATGACCTCTTTAAAGGCCCTATCTCCAAATACAGTCATATTGGGGGTGAGGGCTTCAACATATGCATTTGGAGACACAATTCAGTCCTTAACACCACCAACTCCTGGCTTCTCTAAAACAAAAACCTCCACTTGTGAATCACACGTGGAAATAAGCTCAATGTGAAAAGACTTCGACAGCAAAGCACACAAGAGAGTTAGAACAGTCACAGGGGTAATTCAAGAAAAAATTGAGGGGGGGCCGGCCTGGTGGCGCAAGTGGTTAAGTGCACGTGCTCTGCTGTGGCGGCCCAGGGTTTGCCGGTTTGGATCCCGGGCGCGCACCGACGCACCACTTGTCAAGCCATGCTGTGGCGGCGTCCCATATAAAGTGGAGGAAGATGGGCATGGATGTTAGCCCAGGGCCAGTCATCCTCAGCAAAAAGAGGAGGATTGGCAGATGTTAGCTCAGGGCCGATCTTCCTCACAAAAAAGAAAAGAAAAGAAAAAATTGAGGGAGTAAGAGGGAAAAAGGGCTGAATTGCCTAAGTAATTACTTGATTTTTCCTGACCAATTTTACATTTGCTTTCTCCCTGTGCTACAATTCTAGAAACCTGATATTTCCTGGTCTTGGCTGTGACTGCAGCGTGAACCACTCGGCTGCAGATTAGGTCACATTCGTGAGTGCTAGAGTCCAGCCCCACTTGCAGGGCATCTGACTAAAGGTTAGACGTGGCAATTCTACCATCATGCCATTTTGCTTGCAAGGAATCCAGTTAAGTGGCTCTCCATGTCCCAGTAGTTTAACCTGAAATTAAAAACATATACACAGATGTCTCCAAACGTATCTCTTTGACTCACTCGCTTACTATTTTTGGGGAAAGAATGGTTGGTATTTCTTAAAAAGCACTATACACAGGAGACTCATTTTTTACTTTTATTTAGTGGTTCACAAGCTGTTTTAACCCTTGATCCAAATGAATCATACATCTGTCTTGCTCTTGTATTCTTGCTTCTAAATTACTCTCAAAAGTGTGCAGGAGTTGGGGAAGAATTGGAAAGGTTGCATGGAGTGTCAGAGTAGGGAAACGACTCTGGAACTAGTCTGCCCAACTAGGCCTGCCCAGTTCCTACACAGCATGTTTGGAGAAAGGCTCCCCTCCCTCAGCCAGCCACTCTTCCCAGATTTTCCAATAACAACCACTAATCAACAACACAAGTGTGATCAATTATTACTGTAATTGTTTTCTATCCTTAGTACTATGCTAAGTGAATTTTTTTTTTTTTGTGAGGAAGATCAGCCCTGAGCTAACATCCATGCTAATCCTCCTCTTTTTGCTGAGGAAGACTGGCTCTGAGCTAACATCTATTGCC